CAATGGAACATTGAAAAACAAAATTGCAAAAATTGTAGCAGAGACAAAGTTAAAGTGGCCTAATCCACTTCCTCTTGCCTTAATGTCTATGAGATTCTCTCCAGCTCGAAAGCATGGGTTATCCCCTCATGAAATAATAATGGGAAGACCAATGTTCACAGGAGTGGTATCTATAAAATGTAATTCTCATGAGATAAATGATGATTTAGTAGTGTCATGTAGCTAACAAAACTATTAGTCTCTCTATATGCAGGTAAAAGCTGTACAGTCAACAAGTGAAAACCAACCATAGCATGCCATCGTTCCTGGAGATTATGTTATATGATAAAAAACCATTCACGAAAGCACGCGTTGCAACCAAGGTGGAAAGGACCTTGTCAAGTGTTATTAACCACTAATTCAGCTGTTAAAGGATCACTATAGTGCCAGGAAAACATACTCGTTTTCCTGGCACTATAGTGCCCTGAGGGTGCCCGGCTCTGGAAGGGGGAAAGGGGTTAAACTTACTTTTTTCCAGCGCTGGGCGGGGAGCTCTCCTCCTCCGATCCTCCTCCGTTCCTCCTCCTGGGCTGAATGCGCACGCGCGGCAAGAGCTGCGCGCGCATTCAGCCGGTCACATAGGAAAGCATTCATAATGCTTTCCTATGGACGCTGGCGTGCTCTCACTGTGAAAATCACAGTGAGAAACACGCAAGCGCCTCTAGTGGCAGTCAATGAGACAGCCGCTAGAGGATTAGGGGGAAGGCTTAACCCATTCATAAACATAGCAGTTTCTCTGAAACTGCTATGTTTATGAAAAAATGGGTTAACCCTAGCTGGACCAGGCACCCAGACCACTTCATTAAGCCTAAGTGGTCTGGGTGCCTACAGTGATCCTTTAAAGTCGAAGAAGTTAAATCTTGGATCCACATTTCCCATTGTAAACTGACAAGTGCTGAAAATTATTTTTTCACTGGAAGAAAAATAGAGGACCAAGGAGACTGTCTTCCCTTATAAGAGAGGTACTATTAGGG